GGTCCCCTGTCCGTCCCTCTTGGGGTCGGGTCGACGGTCCGCGGCCGCCCCGCCGATCAGCGCTGCTACTGGCCAGGCCGACGGTCCGCGGCCCCCCCGCTGCTTGCCGGGGCCCGGCCTGCAGGGAAGAAGGGTATACTCCCCAAAAAGGGTTCGATCGAAGACGAAGAGGGCGGGTATCGAAGGTTTGGGAAATACGCGTTGTTGGACACTCGAGCAGATGAGGGCGAACAGTCTTGAAATGATTGCTGTTGTCGCTGTTGATGTTGCTGTTGCTGTTGTTGTTGTTGTTGCTGCTGCTGCTGTTGTTGCTGTTGTTGCTGTTGTTGTTAGTTGTCGTCGTCCCACCCGCGACATACCCCGCGACCCACCCTGCGACCCCCGCGACCCATCCCGCGACCCACCCGCGACCCGCCCCACGACCCATCCGCGACCCACCCCGCGACCCACCCGCGACCCACCCGCGACCCACCTGCGACCCACCCCGCGACCCACCCCGCGACCCACCCGCGACCCACCCCGCGACCCACCCGCGACCCACCCGCTGACCCACCCGCGACCCACCCCCAAGGGAGGAAAAACCACCTTGACCCGACAATTGACGTTTACTAAAACGGCCATGTGCGTTGAATTAACAGCCGTGCCGTGTTCGATTCATTCATTGTGCGCGTTTACTAAAAGGCTTCGCTTGTCGGGGTGATTATTATGGGGTGGGTTTTCTGCCCTCTACACCCGCGACCCAATAGCGACCCACCCGCGACCCATTTGCGACACCCCCGCGGCCGACCCACATTGATTTAACGAAAAAATCGGCGCTGCAGCGGGCTCGTTGTATAATGTGTGAAATGTTGGCGCCTGCGGCGGGTTTCTCCATAGTCTCGCAAACTGCCGACGTCCCCACCTCCCCCTCACTCTTATCCGCATCTGCGGGGTGCTACGTACAATTAAATATTGCCATATGGTGTATGCAGGAAAACACGGTAAGGAGTTTGCCACTTTATGCGGAATGGGTATCTCGTGATATCGTCTGGCACGTAGGACGAACACGCCGGCTATATGTATTCAAGTGTGGGATTGTAATCGCACCACCCGCGGCCCAATCCGTCATAACTTTCTGCCTGCTTGGAGACCGGCTCGCCACGGCGAAGATCAAGGCAGCTGGTGGTGTATTGAATTTGCTCTGCGGATACGCTTCACATTCCAGCAAAGGTTACGAACGTCGGAAATTGTTTTTTTCGATACTTTCACGAAACGACCAGGGGGTCGTACATGCACGTTGGGATATGGAGATTTCAACGCTACGTTACACATGCGAGAAGCAGGAGAAGAAGATGTCATAGGAGACCACATGTTCGAATCTAAACCGGGCCCCGCTGGGAGCATTCCAACAAAGAGCTGTTGCTGGAAACATGCAGGGCTACCGCAGCGATCATTGGCAATACTTTTTTAACATGCGGTGAACAACCAAATAACATATTATGAGCCCGCCCCCGGGGTGGATACAAGCAGCTTGCCCTCTCCAGAACATGTTTCACACATCGACGTTTGTTTGGTTGAAGCTGCACAACTGGACATGGTGGAAAATATATGGAGTGATCGTGCAGCATCCCTGCCTACGAGACATTACGTAGTACGCACCAAGCTGAATATCGAATTTGGCAGGGCAGCGCTAAACAACACATACACATACATGCTGCCTAAATACTATGATGGGCCCGCCAAAACTGGACAAATAATCTGGGAGAGCCTATGCCGATGCATTTACGACGTCACCCACACCGAGAACATTGGACCAAGCAGCCGGGGCAGTCGCATATGCTATGCGTGAAGGGTTCAAGGGCGCACTGCGGCCTCAAGCACGACGACACCAACCTTGGATACCGGGATCTGCTACTGTTTTGTTCGCGCAGCGAGATCAAGCAAGGAAGGAAGACATTGGCGACGAAAGTGCGTTCAACACAGAAATACAGAAAGCAGTGCGACAAGATAAGCAAACATGGTTGGAGTCTACCCTGGTTGGTAGATCGTGGAAAGCTGCGCGAAATCTACAGAAGACCCCGGAAAAACGCCAGTCACATTCAAGAGTACAGACGGGGAGGTCGTCGAGAGCAACGAAAGGGCAGATACTCTAGCAGACTATTCCGAAAAAAAAACCCATTGGAAAACCAATGTTCCGGACAAGCTGTCGAATTGGGAACGCAATATGGGATATACGTTGCCGATAAGCACAAGTGGATTCACAATCGAAGAGTTAGATAAAGGATTGCGGGCTCTCGCAATCGCGAAGGCAGCAGGAACTGATGGCATGCACCCAGAGTTTGGGAAATTCTTATCTGCATCGGAAGACGCCTGCGCTTCCCTCCTATCCCATTGTATGCAACGCTGGAAACAAAAACGGTTGCCAAAACAATGCTAAACCTCCGAACTTGTTTTATTCGGAGAAAAAGCGATGAACCCTTCCAGAAAACTACCGCCCGATATCCTCGTTGACAGTTGGAAACAAAGTATCGGCAAGGATGTTGCAAAAAATAAAACGCATTCAACAGGGCGGGGCGGAAAAGCGAACCAGGTCTACGCAGTCTGGTTTTCGCCCAAAGTGCTGCACAGTGGATGCAATTTCGATCGCACGGCGAATCTTCGATGACGCTCACGCTGCAGAAGGACCGGGCGTTTTGGCAGTATAGTTGAACTGGGCCACAGCATTCACCACATCAAACACGGAGCGGTGTTTCTAGCTCTTGCCAGATTTGGGATCCCAGCCCCGACGATCGAGATTCTCAAAGCGATCTATGACGATCGAAAGTTTATCTCAAATATCTCGGCGGTGATTCTTCATTGCGAGACCATAACGCAGGACTTGTTCAAGGCTGCCCACTATCTCCGTACTTATTCATTATCGTACAGACCGTCAGGATATTTGATATTGACAGAGCCCGACTACGCAGTCTGCAACGATCTCCCGTATCCGGAAGACACCGTCCTTCTTAGCGCGAGCGCAGAGCAATTACAACATCATTCTCGACCTTACTTTAGCGGAGGGCGAAACATACGGAATGGAATTGAACTGGAAGAACACATTCCTGATCCAGGTGCGAAACGACGGTTGCGCGTATGCCCCAGCAGGAGAATGTTTGCAAGTTGTGGCTCAAAGCGCTTATTTGGGTGGATTGTTAAGCACAAAAGTGGACAGCAGGCCGGGGGTTACCAGGCGAATCGGCATGCAAACCTTTTTGTGCGCCAACAAAGATCTATGTCAAGCAACTGTTCTCCCAAAACTGT